TCATCTCTCAACTCTAGGACTCCTCTAAGACACTAATTCTGTGTTCAGTTCTGTCTAAAATTCTTTCAGTTCTTAGTTCTAGATATTTTATTTTCAGTTGGTAACTGTTCTTTTGATTTTCTTATCATTACAATTATTTGTTAATTTTTTTCATTTTTCACCTATTGATTCTTTCCTTTCCCCCTAAACACATTGTTCATAGTTAAAATCCTTATCTGCTAACTCCAGCATATCTAGCATGTGTGTCTCTGTCTTCTCTTACCTTCCTTTTTTCAATTTTTAAATTTGCCATGTCATCCATCTCTTTACTTTTTAACTGAATGAGAGAAATGATGCATAAGAAAATAAGATATCCCAGATACATTTTCTAACACCTGAAAGGATTCATATTCTGTTTTGTTAAGCAAGTGGGAGAAGGGGTTCAGACCACCCAGCTGTCTAGATACCAGCTAGAATTGAGCTGTAACAAGCCTTGGTTGCAGTGCTGGTAGCACTCAGTCTACCTCTGATTTCTCCGCCCCTGTGTTATGGGCTTTCAGAGTTTATAACTGAAAACCTGAATGTTTTGGTAGCTCAGCAGTCAGGAGGATGAGGGAATATCCACTCTGTTTCCAAGGTGTTTGACACAGTTCTTTGGCCTCCTGCCCTTGACAGCGTGTTTACTGGGCAGATATTTGAAGAGAAAATCTGCTATATGGGAGAGGCTCTCAAGTCTCCAGTTTTGTCACTGCAGCACCAGGTAACCCCAAAATCATGCAGGCTTCTCGGTCCTACTTTGATCCATTAACCCAGGCAGCAAATTGGGAAGTTCCCATAGAGAAAGAGAAGCTTCAGATCCTTGGCTNAGCCTTTGCCCTGCTTCATTCTGTACTCCAAGGCCAAATTTGCCTGTTACTCCAGGTGTTTCTTGACTTCCTACTTTTGCATTCCAGTCCCCTATAATGAAAAGGACATCTTTTTTTGTTGTTAATATAAATATTAGTCATGAAAAAATGAAATTCTGCTGTTTGCAATTATGTAGTTGACCATAGAGAATAGTATGTTCAGTGAAATAATGCAAAGATCAATGCTATATGTTATGTTATATGTGAAATATTTTAAAAATGAAATAAAAGTGAATATTACAGAAATAAACATTTTCACAGATGTAGAGACAGAACTAGAGGTTACCGGTGAGGAAAGGGAAGGGGTGAAGGGAAATAAGGGAGTAGGGGATTAAAAGATACATAACAGTATGTATAAAATGAATGAACAACAAGGGTATATTATATAGATAGAGAATATAGTCAATATTTTCATAAAAATTTAAATGAAGTATGATCTACAAAAATATTGAATCACTATATTTTACACCTGAAACTAACATGATGTTGTAAATCTGTTGGTCCTTTATTGGACCGGAACCTGGTGGTCCAGAGTCGGCAATGAGAGAGTGAAAGAAGGAAAGAGGCTAATATTCCCTGGGTTATGCAGCCAGCTTCCATGCTCCAGGGAATCAGCCAGAAAGAGAGAGAGAGAGAGAGAGAGAGAGAGAGAGAGAAGAAAGAAAGAAAGACACGGGGACCAAAGCTCTGATGGAGCAAATGTGTTCTAATCAACATGGTGTGGGCATATATACTGTCTTACAAGGTAGGTATTCTCAGCAAAGATAAAAATTAAAATTCTAGACTTACAAAACACAAGGTGATCCCTATTAAAGAGAGAAGAGGGTACTTATCACCATAATGAGAAACTAACAAAGGAAATGCCTGGATTCCTCAGCCCTGGGAAAGGCATGCCTCTCCTCTTAATTCCTGAATATTCAGGAATTAATAAGGACCAAAGGATTCTTGGCAGATCCAAAACAGCACACAGGAAGCCTCCTGTTAAATGCTTCCTGACATAAATCAATTATACTTAAAGAGAAAGCTCTTTCTTTGACTTCTGTTAACTCGATTGTAATGTGCCTTGTGGTGGATTTCTTTGGGATCATCTTATTTGGGATGTTATGGTTTTTGTTTCCTACTTCTGGATGTCCAGTTGCTTGCATAGACTTGAGGATTTTTTCAGCCAGATTTTATTTGAGAAATCTTTTAGATCATCACTCACATTTTCTCCTGTGGTGATCCATGGAATGCCTATGTGACTCGTGATATTAACACTTCCTATAAATCTTAGACTTTTGACACAACTTTTCATTCTTTTTTTCTTTTTGCTCCACTTACTAAATTATTTCAGATATCCTTTTTCCAAACTCTATAATTCTTTCTTACATTTGTTTAGTCTGTTATTTAGACCTTCTAGCGAATTTTTCAGTTCAATTATGGTGTTTTGGCTTCAGTATTTCTGTTTGGTACTCTTCAAAGAATAAAATTGCCACTTTGTTAATGTATTTTTCTTCAACTACTTTGAGCATCTTTATGATAGTTAAATTCTCAGTCAAGTAAATCATGTATCTCCACTTCAGTAGGGCCAATTTTAGGATCACTTTCTTGGAAAGAGCCTTTTTTTTTTTATGTAATTACACTTTTCTTCATTTTTCCTTGTTTTTCTGCACTCATGTCTGCATATAGACAAAATAGCAAACTATTTTAATTCTCATGACCTGCCCTTGTAAAGGAGCTGACCCTCTCAATAAACTTGGCTAGAAAAAGCAGACCTCTCAATCCTGTGGTAGTATAACCCACTTTGTTTTCAGTAGCTCCAGGCCTCTGGAGAATGTCAGGATCCCATAGACCCTTCACAGGAGATTCGTCAATTCCTCGGGCAGCTCCCAGATTAGTTGGGTCATTGGTTGAACAGTGTACCTTTTGCTTTACCAAGGAGAAACTGTAGGAAAACTATTTTCTACTACTAGCTGTGTTAAGTTAATGTGGGGTAGGTGGCTACAGTTAGTTTTAGCCCAAATTGCTGTCTCTCTTCTCTCTCACCTCAGGCAGCTAAAATATGCCATATCCCATATCCCTTCAGCTTTCTCACACAGGCTATACAGAGGCCAGTCTTCTGAATGGCCCTTAGAAAAGTTGGGGCTTTGGATGTATTGTGCATCTCTTTCTCTCCCCAGGGAGAACCTGGGAACTGGAGAATTTTGTCCCAATCACATAGTTCTGGATCACCATAGGTATATGGCAAGATGTACCTTACATTTTCTTAACAGTTTCAACATAATTGGTATCATGCTGGAACTGTGTGCAGCATCCTTTTAACTAAGTTTTGGGTTTCTTACAGAGGGAATCTGTACATAATTTGTTTTGAGTCAGTGTGTTTTGCAAGGAAGGAGATTCTAGGGCTTGCTCTTCTGCCATCTTGCTGATGGGAAATGGTCATTAATTTTGGCTGTTCCTTGGAGGATAAGCAATCCCTATAGCAAGGGAAAAGCTTGAGTTAAATATTGAGTCTATAAGGAACTAAAGAAAGATTGTATATACAATCCCCTTAGTTCCCTATTACACATAGAAATTGTTCCCTGGGGAATAGATGGAACAAGATGCTGCCATATCTATATCTGAGTATGTTATATCATTACACTCACAATAAAACCTCTGTAAATTCCTATGTGGCCAAAGTGATAATAATAGCAACCATTTATTTTTTCTGCTGCTGGATAGGACTGAAATCATAATCAAAACTATGACCTCTAATTCTGAAAGAATTCTAGGGCATATAAAAAGTTAATTACAGATGGTGATTTCTTAAAATCAATGAACCAAATCCTCAGAAACTGAAATTGCCCTTCCAGGACCAAAGGGTAAAAACAAGAAGAAAGCCCTGAGATATTCTGCCTTAAGAGGGTGAGTTTCTGAATTCCATTTATATTCATGTTTTCCTTGTTCAAGAGGGAGACTGAGAACCTAAGATGACAGTTCATTTCCTATTTGCAGTCCTGAGATTCAACTGAATCTTGCAGAGAAATCTGTTTGAGGGAAGAGTAGGGAATGTTCAGAATCATTTACAGATACAAGAGATGCAGTTTCTTAGTAAGTTTCTTCTCCGTGGATGGAACACTTTTTCTTCAACTTTTATAACTTTTCCTGTATGGTATATGGAAGGACTGAGGCTGAAATTGAAACTCCAATATTTTGGCCATCTGATGCGAAGAACTGACTCACTGAAAAAGATCCTGATGGCTGGAAAGATTGAAGGTGGAGAAGGTGAAGACAGAGGATGAGATGGTTGGATGGCATCACCGAATTGATGGACTTGAGTTTGAGTAGGTTCCGGGAGTTGGTGATGGACAGGGAGGCTTGGCATGCTGCAGTCCATGGGATCACAAAGAGTCAGACATGACTGAGTGACTGAACTGATATGGAGTAACTTAAGCTGTCCTAGACTTTATTTCCTCTTACCTTGTTTGTTTGTTTTTTTTAATAAATTGGAAGCAATATTCTTGGTTCCTACCCTGTATAGTCTTATGTGCACTAGAGGCAAAAACCAGGCTTTTGGGGTTGCTGCCAAAAGAAGAGGAGAGGTGAGGAGAGGATCCAAGTGAATGAAATAATGGTGAGATGAGAAAAGGGAAACTGTCCTCGTTCACACTTCTTTTCCATTGTTGTTCAGTTGCTCAGTCATTTCTGACTCTTTGCAACCCTATGGACTGTAGCCTTCCTGATTCCTCTGTCCATAGGATTCTCCAGGCATGAATAGTGAAGTAGATTGCCATTCCCTTCTCCAGGGGATCTTCCTGACCCATGGGTCACACCTGCCTTGTCTGTGTCTCACAGATCGATTCTTTACCCCTGAGCCACCATTATTCCTTTGGATAAAAGGCTATATTTTGGTGCTTTACAAAGCATCAAATATGCTTTGTGTGCTTTACAAATGCTTTAGTTTGTAAAATGTTTATAAGGGAAATTTATGTCACTCATTTCCATGGTAATGATAAGTAAATTCTATGGATCCAGTTTGGGCTATTCGCAGTCATTCCCAGTGCATACATCACTTTATATGAGGAGATGTGAGAAATACTCTTTTTTCTCTATGTAACCCTTCTCCCCTGTTTTCACAGATCCCCTTAGAGAAGAATGGCTCCAGGGAATGACTCTTTCATGACTCAGTTCATTTTAGTAGGATTAACAGACCAATCAGTTCTTCAGCTCCCCCTGTTTTTCCTGTTTCTAGTAATGTATGTGGTCACTGTGATGGGAAATTTGAGCTTGATCATCCTAATTGGGCTGAGTTCACACCTACACACACCTATGTACTTTTTCCTGTTTAATTTGTCCTTAATAGATCTCTGTTATTCTTCTGTTTTTACACCTAAAATGCTGATCAACATCATATCAAAGAAGATTATCTCCTACATGGGGTGCATGACTCAGCTTTACTTCTTCATTTTTTTTGGTATTTCTGAATGCTATGTGCTGACATCAATGGCCTATGACCGCTATGTGGCCATCTGTAGCCCACTCTTGTATAATGCTGCCATGTCCCCTAAAGTGTGTTCCAGCCTTATGCTCATTTCCTACTTGATGGCCTTTCTGGATGCCATGACCCTTATTGGAGGCATGTTGAGACTGACCTTCTGTGATGCAAACACTATCAACCATTATTTGTGTGATACCTACCCTCTGCTCCAGCTCTCCTGCACGAGTACCTACATCCTTGAGCTGGAAATAATCATCGTGTCAGGAATCAACATCATTCTTCCCAGTCTCACCATCTTTGTCTCTTATGGCCTCATCCTCTCCAACATCCTTCACATCAGCTCCAGAGAGGGCAGGTCTAAAGCCTTCAGCACCTGCAGTTCCCACATCATTGCTGTTTCTCTGTTCTTTGGATCTAGTGCATTTGTGTATCTCAAACCATCTTCTATGCCCATGAATAAGGGAAAATTCTCTTCTGTCTTTTACACCAACGTGGTTCCCATGATCAATCCCTTAATTTACAGCTTAAGAAACAAAGACGTTAAACTTGCTCTGAGAAAAGTCCTGAGGATGGTGAAGTTTAGATCAGAGACATTATCTGTCTGTGCATATAGTTTTAGGAGAAGGAGATTCTGTGTGTTTATTTAAATATTTATAGTTAGAATCTTATTTATCTCTTTTTTAAATAACATGATTTAAATAATATTTGAGCCTTCCCCCAATAATTTATCTCTGGTTTTTCTGTTACTTCATTTCCAAAATGAAATTCATTTTTCTGAATCGTTTGCATGAGATCTCCTGCAGGTTTTCTTCTTACGATAATTTTAAATTAAAAATGTAGCATCTCTGTTATTTTTATTGTCATTTCATACTTTGAGCTTTTACTGAAAAGGAAAATGGTCCCCAAGTGATCAAATTTGAGACCCCTCTGATATAATGACAGACCAGTGATGAAAATCAGCTAGATAAGACTAAAGTAACATTGTTTCACTGGAGTTGTGCTTATCGGCCACTTGCTGTTAGAAACATGCATCAGATATTCTGTTTCTACTCCCATCTTTCCATTCTCTAACCTGGAAGGCTATGTCTCCTTTAAATGTCAGATATTGAAGTTTCCAAAAGGCTTTATCTGTAATTTATTTTGTATCTGGTAAATATTTTACATCAAACTTCTTTGGGCTGAGATTTTCTCTTTACTTTTGCACAATGGACTCAGCAGATCATCTAAATATATTTATTTCATTGATGGTAAAATGAAGCTCTGAATGGTTAATTATTAAATGTCACAGGTTCATAAAGAAAAAAATCTAGACTAAACTGTTAGCCTTCTAATTTCAAGTCTACTACTTCTGTAGTCTACTTACATCTACTTCATTCTATTCTATTTATTTCAGTATGATCATTAATGAGAAAATATTTTTAATTTGAAGCTTAACTGTTGTTTATTCCAGGGGATGTATGAATTTCTCTCATTGTGCATGGTGCTTTTTTATTATTTGTTTGCTTGTTTAGGCAAAGAGTTTCGTAGGTTTCTTTGGGTGGGAAAGGAAGGTCTTTTGGACTAGTATATTGATGAGATGGGGGCTTCCCAGGTGGCACTATCATAAAGAAACTGACTGCCAATGCAGGAAACATAAGAGATGTGGGTTTGATCACTGGGTCTGGAAGATCCCCTGAAGGAGGGCAAAGCAACCCACTTTAGTATTCCTACATGGAGAAGCCCATGGTCAGAGGAGACTGGAAGACTACAGTCCATAGGGTCACAAAGAGTCAGACACAACTAAATGACTTAGCACACATTGGTGAAATGATTGACTCATATAGGAAGTGTTTTTGTATGTGTCTAAAATTAAGAAAACTGAATTTCAGGTGTTTGAAAGTGTTTATTATTATTATTATTATTATTATTATTATTATTAAGAGAACAGGACATGGCAAAGAAAGGAGTCCAGAATCACATCATCAAGACAGACCTCTACAAGACAAATAGCCAGAAAATAAGAGGTCGCTGTGTGGGAAGTGGTCATAAGGCTGAGGAAACAGATTTTATTCTGACATTGTATTCTTCTATGAGTTTGTTGCTTTTTTGTTGTTTGCTTATTTAGGCAGAGTTTCATGGTTTATTTGGGTGGGTAAAGAAGGCCTTTTGGGCTAGTGTATTGGTGAGATGATTGACTCAAATAGGGAACTATTTAATTTTTTTGCAAAATCAATAAAACTGAATTTAAGATTTTTTTATTAAGAGAATATGACATGGGTGAGAAAAGAGTCCAGCATCATGTCATTATGACAGACCTCAACAAGACACATATTCAATAAATAAGATGTCTTGTGTGGGAAGTATTCATGTGCATTAGGAGACAAATATTGTTTTGAATATGCATGCTTTCTGTACAGGACTATAAGTGTATTTAACTGTCTATAGATCTTTGATAGAGCTATGATGTACATGACTGTAAATTAATAGTGCTTTGGGAAATAAAGGTGAAAAAGCTATGGTCACATTTGGAACCAGGAGAGAAGAAGGCAGCAGGTAGAAGTAATAAAATTGTTAAGAGCATTTGAAACTCAGTTAGGAAATAGGAATTTAGAGAAGAAAAATGATGAATAAAGAAAGTCCATACCTATGACTCCCGTCTCCTTCCTGGAAGGGCCTAGATATATTATGGAGCTCACAGGGTTTCTTTGGATAGGATGTAATCTCAAAGTACTGGACTTTTTGAAACAGTGAAATCAACAGAACTGGTGAGCCTGAGAACAACTAAATCACTCCTGCTTCTATGGACTTCCAAATGCTACTTCCATATGCATTTTGTGGTGCTAAGCCTCAAAGTCCTGCTGGTAGTATAATGATAACTTGAAAAACACTTTGGCGAAAACACTAAATTTTGGCACTGACTTTACTGAAAAGCATGTCAAAATTTTTTTTAAAGGAAAAATACTACCTTAAAAATCCTCAATATGATATGTAGAAATGTAATGAAAATAATTTCCAAGATACTTTAACAATATTGCTATATATCATTTTCTTAATCTCCACTCAATATTTGGGTGTTGTGAAATTTCACATAGATGATTTGTTGATTTTTTTTTTTTGTTTTTAGTTGTTTGGCATAGCTAAATCCCTATCTTATGGTTAAAATGACCACTCATCTCCCATCTCCTGACCTCTAATATCAACATGCTTCTTTTTCACTGAAAAGGTTATATTTATTTAAAATAGTTGATCTTGGTTGGAGTTTCCTTTTGTTTTTTCACTTTCTGTCTCTAGCTTGTTTCCCCTATAATAACAAATGTGTGTCTAAGCAAGTTCGTGTGTCGAGTCATTCGGAAACGTTTCAGATCTCCATCCTCTCACTCTGTTATGTATTTTATAAATATTTGAGGTCTTCCAAGGGTACAACTTCCCTGGTGGCTCAGTATAAAGAAACCACCTGACAATGCAGGAGACTCGAGTTCAATTCCTGGGTTGGGAAGATCTCCTGAAGGAAGAACTGACAACCCACTCCAGTATTCTTGCCTGAAGAATGTCATGGACAGAGGAGCCTGGCAGGCTACAGTCTGTGTGGTTGCAAAACAGTTGGCACAACTTAGCAACGGAGCAACAACAAAAACAAAGGGTGGGTTAGTGTGGTCACTAATGTTTAATTTCGTGTGCCTAAAAATTCAGATAAAATGTGTTCATTTTCAGAGAAGGTAAACTGTCTTCACAGTTAATTTTATATTTGACTTATTTGAAAAAAAGTAATAAATACATTTAAAATTACAGTTTGTAATAGTTAAGGGTGGCAGTTTAAATTTAAGAGAGGCAAGTTTGTTGATAGCTGATCAATTTAAGCACTTTTTATTTAACAATAAGCCTGTCTATCATTTGGATTTCCTTCAAAAGGAGGGCAATCAAGTCAGAGTATTTTACATGCACAGCACAGTTTTTCTTAATCATTTTTGCTTTATTGAGTTATATGAATGACACTGACATCTTTTGAGGGAAGGAATTGAAAGGTTGCTGCTGAGCCATGAAAGATGCTGGGATTCTTGGCCTCCAGAGGAGAAGAATTCAATCTGGGGCCAGGGGTGAGGCTAGATGGCTTAGAGCTTTTGTTGAATAAAGTTTTATTTAAGTATGAAAGATATAGAGAAAGCTTCTGACATAGACATCAGAAAGGGCAGAAAGAGTGCCCCCTGCCAGTCTGTAGCCAGATGTTTTATAGCTACTGCTGCCGCTGCTGCTGCTAAGTTGCTTCAGTTGTGTCTGACTCTGTGCAACCCAATAGACGGCAGCCCACCAGGCTCCTCTGTCACTGGGATTCTCCAGGCAAGAACACTGGAGTGGGTTGCCATTTCCTTCTCCTAGCAGTCTGGTAATTGGAGAAAGGAAATGTCTCAAAACTCAGAGACTAGCACCAGGCCCCTCATTTTGAGATAGCATTGGCACAAGGTAAGTTGTCCTGGGCCATAAAATGATTGACATGAATCTTGAAGAAAGGTAGGTTTCCAAGCAAATACAGTCTCATTAACAAAGCTTAAGAGAACATTTGCATGAGTAAAACATACTAGTTTGTCAAGTAGGTTTTGAGTCTTAGGTGAACTGACTTGAAGACAGAGTCTAGGGTAAATACATGGTTCATTAACGTAGATTAAAACAAACATTTCCATAGAAAAATGCATTGGTTAAGTCAAAGTTTAAGAAAAGTTAAGTTCAGGTGGAACCAGGTGTCATCAAGGCAACACTGAACTTTAAAAGAAACCTTTTTTAACATTTGTATAGAGAAGGGGAAAAAAACCCTAACATTTATAGTTTGTTTCCTCCTGCAGCTTAAGAGTGGAGAAGGAAATGGCAACCCACTCCAGTATTTTGCCTGGAGAATTCCAGGGAGGGAGGAGCCTGGTGGGCTGCTGTCTATGGGGTCGCACAGAGTCGGAAATGACTGAAGCGACTTAGCAGCAGTAGCAGCGGCCGCTAAAGAGAGAGAGAGAAAATGTCTGACGCTTGCAGCCTATTTCCTCCTTTTGGAGACACCTAGCCTACCTGCCTGTTACCCTCTCAGAATGGTTCTAATGGAGTTACCACAGCTGAGAATCAATTGGGTAAGCCGTGGGATTCCTCTGTGCTGCTGTGAAAGGACAGATGTGTCTGAGTCAGTGTGAAAACTTCATTTGTAAGTTTAACAGAAAATGGTCCTCCAAGTTAAAGAGCAGAAAGTTTGTTCCCTGGTTACTTCCCAAATTTGTTCAATGTAAATGTTCTATGAGAGAGCTGATGTTAATTACTCAAGGTTGGGTTTGGAATGAGCATGATGAAGGGTCACTGTGGTTAAGGGTTGATGGAAATGAGAAGTAAAAGGAATTCTGAGTTCTTTATCCATTTATTTCCTGAAACTGCACTATATTGAATTTCATCCTCTATTTTCCTTCACAGGGATTACACACATACACACGCACACAGTGTTTTCAAGTCATGTATTTGATGAGATCACTGTCTATTATTGCATGCTGTGGAGCCCACTTTTAATGTTTTCAAGCACATTCAGGTAGTTGTTTCCTGCTCCAGCTCCCAGACTGAGTGAGAAGTACTTGGTGAATCTAACAAGAAGGTATAG